CCCCCCCCTTGGATCCGCCCTTGCGTCAAACGTCGTACCTCGATTTTTTGAAAACGATTTTTTATACCTAAATTGGTCTTGAAACTGTTGAGTTTTTCGGATTTCTGGGTCGTCGTAAAATGACGACTTCCCGACGTTTCGCAAGCACGAATGGCCTGCATCCATCATATACCCTACCTTTGAGAGCTACAAGATTGTTGCTCCAAAGTCCATCAGCTTCCTCTGAGGGCGCAATATTAACACGATCAGTAAAATAGTCGAAGTCCTTAACTGCGAGCTGTTTTATTAAATCGGGATCTTTCAACAGTATGGCTGGGTATGACAAGTGATATATTGCCTCATATCTAATACAAGTAGAAAAATGTGTAGAAACTGTACAAAATCCATATCGTCATGACTCCGGAACAAACCGCATGACTATGAACTAGGAACAACAATTATGTTGATTTTGATTGGTTTTTACAATTCGCACCTGCTTTCTGGGTTTAAATAGTAAAAGTAATCCATCAGTTCCATTAAATTCATTCGGCCCAAGCACAAAGGCCAAAAGTCGCCWAGCAGAGGCCAGGGAGTTGTGCGTTGTTTCAAGCCCAACTTTGTCCAGTGGGTGTAYGTTTTTTTGTATTTAATCCATAAAGTTATGGAAACAACTATAAGGGAAACTGCACATAATGGTGCCAGTATCATTCTACTCCTGGAAAAACTCGTRTTATTTATAACATTAGACTCCGTACTACGAAAAGGAAATTGTATGCGTGTCACGATCATTTCAAAGTCAAGAATGTTTATGAGTTTCCCATAAAAATTACCCAGTAATATGCACTACTGAAATCTAAGGCTGCAGTTAAAATAATAATTTTTATTACATTTCATTTAGGTATCTATATGCAATTTATGACCGATTTCCATCTACTTACCCTAAATTGTTGGTAAGGCCCGCTTAGAGCACTGGCATGTTATGCAATAAAAGTGCGCACTTCAATAACAAGCTTTAATTGATAATGCGATCTGGATTGCACAATGCAAAGCGAAAACAAGTTATATTGGTGAAAAAATTAGTGCCGCAATCATATGCAATCTGGCCAATTGAAAGCCTTTATATACGGGGTAGTTCACTATAAAACATTACATTCAAATCTCTTTTTCGCCGAGAGGCTTCAATATTTTCGAGCGTTTTAGACCAACTTTGTAAAGAAATTAAGAAATTAGAAAGAACTAGTCTAAAAAATCTTAGAAAATGCGGCATTTTGCAGCTCTCCCAAGGTGGATAAAAAACATCAGCCTCTCTTAAAGCAATTTTTGGAAAACAGCACTTATTGAATCTACTCATTGTGTATATTTTCCTGACTGTATTTCGACTTGTTTTGGCTTGCCAAGTGTGAAGGTAGAAACAACCATACATACAAACTGATGATGGTGGAGAAAAACACCGAAACATATTTGTAACATTTTAAATAATAAACAATAAATTTGGTAAAATGTAGCAAATACAATAGCTATGATTGGAAGCTGCATTGAAGATAAACTCAATTTATCGCCCCATAATAGGAGGAATATGCTTAATTGTGGATAAATAGTAAATGCATTTTCGAGATAATTAGTTGGCCTAAATAAAGAAACAAATAAAAATTCTAAAAAATAAGAATTAATAATTTACTTGTTCTGGAGTGTATGGATTTTCCTTTAAAAAGAAGCTTTAGCTACTATTTGTGTCGTTCTGTAAAATCGATTATTTCATAGTTTATATAACTTCTCAATAGTTCAAGCTGTGTTTGAAATACCCAACCCAAACAATCAGTTTCCATCTTGTTATGAAGTGAAACACCCCCACAACTTATTATTAGATTATGCGGAGATTCACCTTACATTTACTTAAATCGTATAGATATTATTGTACATGTACACATAAATTTATCATGTTTGTTAATACATAGTTTTATGATTGCCAACATGTATAGGTTTGTCGAATTGCTGTATAACCGAAGTGTTAATACTCGGACAAGTGGATAAAAGATAATTTTTCAAGCAATTCTGCAACAGCAAGTTCCGCGAACGCACACCCCCTATATATTCAATTATTTACAATCCCCAGCCACGGGCCCTTCGAGTTCATTTGGCCCTTCCGAGTTCAGGGCCAAATCAATATATATCGAGGAATAAAAGAGACAACTAATTTTTTTTAGACGAGAAAGACCTTTAATTATTTCTTTTTTCGCTGTTCAAATAGCAAAATTTATTCACATTCACGATTAAACGTTCGATTTCAACCGTTTTCCTAAAACGGGACACAAATTAGGTTTAATATATAGTTATTATAACTGAAGCCATAAATATGTAATTCAAGGTGATGCGATGTAATTTTCATTACTGCTTCATCATGCTGCGCTTACTTGCCGAACACAGTTGTGTAGACCTACTTGAACAATCATTACATTTTATCGCCCAACTGCTGATAAACCTAGTTTGTTTCGACTATAAATAAAAATCCATTTATCTTTAGTGGCTAGATCATGGCAGTCCCATCCTTTGAATTAGTAAGCGGATACAAAATTCCTGCTGTGGGACTTGGAACGTGGCAAGTAAGTGTCTGAAATGCTAATTGAATTTCGTTCTGTTTGTAAATTGCTTTGGCGTTGATTCAAGCGAAAACTTTCACTTTTGCTATTTAGAGCAGCGATGAAAAGGAACTGGAAGGCGCTTTGAATGCCGCCTTGGAAAATGGCTACAGACACATCGATACCGCTTTCGTATACCAAAACGAGCATATTATCGGCAGGGTGATTAAAGAATGGCTCACTTCCGGCAAAGTTAAGAGAGAAGAACTGTTTATTACCACAAAACTGCCCATGGATGGTATCGCGACCGACAAGTACAAAAATACGATTACAATTTCCTGATTCTTTAATTCAATTTTTTCAGAGTGGAGCTGTACATCAAGAAGTCCCTAGAGAGTTTGCAGTTAGACTACGTTGATCTTTACTTGATTCATTTTCCAGTAGCAACCAGTGAGCGGAAGAACCCCACAGATCCTTTCCAAACCATCCCGACGGACCACGTTGCTGTATGGAAGGTAAACTATTAAAAAAATTTCAAACTGTTTGCTGGGCAAAGCAGAAACTAGGTTTATTTTGCTTTAGAAACTTGAGGAACAAGTCGATGCGGGTCGAACCAGAAGTATTGGAATTTCAAATTTCAACCTCAAACAAGTGGAGAGAATCGTGAAAAATGCCCGAATCAAGCCAGCCTCACTACAGATTGAAAACCACATATTCCTCCAGCAAAAAGAGTTGATCAAATATGCTCAAGAGCAAAAAATTGTGGTTGTTGCGTATTCGCCATTGGGAAGTCCGGGTTACGGAAAGTTTGTCGCCAGATTTGGACTAGAGTAAGCAAACCATTTCTTCGGTAGAACCGAAGCTAACTTTGCAACTCCTCCAGGGCAAAGCCAGTTCCAAGCATTTTTGAGCACCCAAAAGTCAACGAAATTGCAAAAAAACATGGGAAAACCCCGGCCCATGTCGCCTTAAAGTTCCAACTTCAACGAAAAGTAGTGGTAATTCCAAAAAGTGTTACAGCAAACCGGGTGAAGGAAAATATCAATCTTTTTGATTTCACTCTGGATGAACAGGACATGAAGACTTTAAGCGATTTGGATGTTGGTGAAGCTGCCAGAGTTTGCGACTTCAAATTTGCCCCGGTGTAAGTGCAGTGCTCATATTTTAGAAGATTTTTTTCAGTTTTAGCTAAAACTTATTCGATTGCTTTTGTGTGTTGCAGATTAGCAGACCACCCAGAATGGCCATTTCCCAAGTAGGTCGATAAGGCGGTTTATGTAGTTAGGTTGTTAGCAGCACAGTTTTATCACGAGACCAATAAACTTGTTCAATAAAAACTTAAAGCCTTTCAAAACAACCTCATCCCTAAGCCTGGAAGAGCTTTTTGTCAAAATGAGGTTGAGCCTCAATGAAACAGATGTGATTTGAAGCTGTATTGAAAATAATCAGGAGGACAATTGTAGAAAAATCATAAACGCTTTTTCGAGATAATTCTTGACGATACTTGACTAGAGGATATAACCGAATTTTCCTATCAAAAGAAGCTTAACTTCACAAGATTTCAAGCTGTAAGTGAAACATCCAACCCAAAAAACAGGTCAAACGCTTCCATCGTATAACGTGAAACCCCAAACAATTAATTTTTAGATTATGCGGCGCCGAATTTTTTAAGTATTGAGAAATTTAACTTTGAGTCATCAGACAGTCTACGAATTTGAAAAATCATACTAGCAATTAGTGAACTTTAGCCCTGGGTCTGATTCAACGCTCTAACCATTTTCAACTAAATGGAACTATTTAAAGCAGACGCTAAAAAAACTCATGATGATAGTCTGGCTGCGGTCTGGGTGTTTCATACAGTATGTTCTACTTGAATTTTACTTTAATTTATTTTCCTGACTGCGTGTAATTGTTATTATATTCTTATAATACTGGGCTCCAAAGTGTAAAAAAAATGTTTATCGTTTACTTCATAACGTTTCGGAGAGACAACAGCGCCATCATCAGATTTAAAATTCATACAAACTACAAACCACAATAATACCAATTATGAGTGTTTGTAGTTTGTATGAATTTTAAATCTGATGATGGCGCTGTTGTCTCGCCGAAACGTTATGAAATAAACGCTATACAAATTTTTGGATCACACTTTGACTGGAGCCCAGGAAGGAAAAGAATATAACTTGAATTTTACCCAACAAGTCCTAGTTAGCACTAATTAAACCTGTTAAAACCCATAGAATACAGTATACATTCACCTGGGAAAAAATGTGGTGTAATCTTACAACACATTAGTATACCTACTTAAACCCAAATTAGGCTTAATTTGCCGGCAATATAAAAAGCAGTTCGCCCATTATGGGATCAATAGTAAAAGAAGCAGCCAAAAATGGTGGTACCAACATTTGATTTATTAGGAGGATACAAAATCCCCGTTGTGGGCCTTGGCACATGGCAAGTAAGTACCGATTTTAAATTTCTGTGGTTGAATTGTATCCATTAACGAAACCTTTTTAGTGCAACAATGAAAAAGAGTTGGAAGACGCGTTGAATGCAGCCTTGGAAAACGGGTATCGGCACATCGATACGGCCTATCTTTACGAAAACGAGCACATCATTGGCAGAGTGCTTAAGGAATGGTTCACCTCCGGAAAACTCAAAAGGGAGGACGTTTTCATTACCACCAAACTTCCCATGGAGGGTATTCATCCCGACCGGTAAAACCTCAAAACCGAAATCAATGCAACACTGAATGTTTTTGGCTCTTCCAGAGTGGAGCCGTTTTTAAAAAAATCCCTAGAAAATCTGCAACTGGACTACCTGGATCTTTATTTGATTCATTTTCCCGTTGGAATCACGCAGAGGAAAAACCCTAGCGACTCTTTGCACACCATTCCTACGGATCACATCGCCATATGGAAGGTGACCTCCGTTCAAAAATTCCTCAAGGCTCTTGAGGAGTCAAACTGTAATTTTTTAGAAATTCGAACAGCAGGTCGATGCGGGACGCGCGAGAAGTATCGGAATATCGAATTTCAACATAAAACAAGTGGACAGGATAGTGAAAAATGCCCGCATCAAGCCAGCCTCGCTGCAGATTGAAAACCACATTTTCCTCCAACAAGCAGAATTGGTGAAGTTTGCTCAAGACCAGGGAATTGTCGTTGTGGCCTACTCCCCATTGGGCAGCCCCGCATATGGGAATTATGTGGCTACCTTGGGGATAACGTACGGAATTTCCCCATCAGTAAAAAGCCCTAAAAGTTCAAGGCATTTTTTCCAGTGCCAAACCAACTCCAAGCATCCTCAACCACCCAAAAGTGAACGAGATTGCAAAGAAGCACGGAAAAACCGCCGCACATGTCGCCTTGCGGTTCCAAATTCAGCGCAAAATCGCCGTGATACCGAAGAGCGTTACGGCCAACCGGGTCCAGGCAAATATCAATCTTTTCGATTTTACTCTGGATGACCAGGACATGAAGGCTTTAAGGCAGCTGGACATTGGCGAAGCTTGTCGAGTCTGCGACTTCAAGTTCGTGAAAGTGTAAGTTCCAGTGCGGGTGATGCAGTGAAGGTTTTCTTAATAACGACTGAATATTTCAGATCTTCTGATCATCCCGAATGGCCATTTCCCCAGTAAGATCTGAAACAACTTGAATCTACGTTGACTAGAAATCGACGTTTATTGCTAAAAAACATTTTATCACATTGACTTAGTTTTTGCGCCTTCCTGCCTTAAAAAATCCAAATAGTACATGCCCCAACAGTACACCACGCCCAAGGAACAATAGGTTGAAGTTAACAACAGAGGCAAAAACGGCAGCTTTGTCTGCAAACCCAGGGCTTTATGCAGTAGATTCTCATATAAAAACACGCACGTCAAGCCGTATAAATACAGACTCTCCCAAATGTTCAACAGCGGTAAAGCAAACCGCGTAATGCGAGCTAAGTGGATTTTGTGAAGACTGTAGAAGGCGTACGATGTGAAGAGAAGCATTAGCAGCACTTTTACAAAAATCAGAGCGGCTGGGAACAGAAGGGGGAATAGCGAGTAGTGCCCCACTGTGGACAGTATCAGGAACATCCTGGCATCTGCAGGTTCAGCGATGGAAATGATGCTGAATAACAAAAAAAAAGTTAATTAGTTGTTATGAACCAGAAAGCATTTGCAATCACCTCAACGGTATGATGGCCATTAAAATAGCCTTCTCATGTACATGCCACCCAAACATGTACGACGTCAGTCCAGACAAAACCAGACACCGGAGGAAATTGAAGGGGTTTTTATCCATGTAAAACAGTTTTAGCATGCATGGGATGCTGAAAATGAGCGTCAGACCCATAGTAACCCCAGGCGCAATTGTAGGCAGTACAGAGTGGGAGAATTCTTGCACCAAACCCCCGGTCATTGAAGCAGTTTGGTTGCCTTGCAGAGGCACTGAAAACGCACGTGAATTCACAGAGGTAAATTTCACTGATTACTCACGTATAACGGAGGCGACTTTGTCGGCTGTGTTGTACAAGGCCCAGAAGTTTGGGGCCCAATACGCATGGCAAAGGCCCCTTTTAAAAGGAAACAGCCTGGATAGGACCTGGAATAATCACGCGGTTCATTGCCTTGATGTTTCGAAGGGAGTGATACTTACTTGAGGTAAATGGGAGGCAAACGGTAGGAAACTAACGGCACAAACGCCCAAAACAATACCAGCGAGTTGGAGGGTATTTAAGTACAGTTTGCGCGTTAGTAGACTCTTTGTGCTTAGGGTTTGGCCTAGGCAGTAATGCCTCAGCAAGTAGATGAAGTAGGCGGGCGCCAGATAAACGTAAATGTGCTTCATATTGAGCAAAAAGGCAAACCAGAACGCTGCCCATTTGAATTGGTCCTGAAACAGCCAGGGTGTAAATATAGTTGGATGGCTCAAGGGCGGTAAAGCGAAACACACCCTTAGCATGAGCGAAATTGATATTAGCAGAATCCCATACATGATTCCATTGTACTGGAAATGAATGTGGTCTACCATTATCAAACCACAGTTTGTTAGTAACAAAATTGGTAGAACTACATCCTTTTTCCAGCCTTTGGGCAATGCTTGGCAAATTCTAAAACATTTTCGAAATTAAGGCCCCACCTAAGGCTCGGCCGCTTCTTACCTATGGACCCCAAAAACATAAACAAAATCACTCAATATCACAGACAGTCTTTGGAATAAGATAGTTTTGTCGGAAGCATAGTTGATATTGTCGAGCTTCAGCATGTCTTTGTCGAAACGGGCGGCTACAAAAGATAGCAGATATTCGAACCATGCGAAGAAGGGCGGGTAATCCAAGGTCCATTCAGAGGTTTCTTCATAATACCATTTATCGATGGGTAAGGAATGGGTGATGGCTAGCCAGTTTCTGTGTACTTCGAAATCTGTAGATCTGCTTAAAAATAGATAGAGGATATGAGGAGATGGTACTCTGTTTACATTGAAGATGCATGATGTTAAATATCGTTCAGACCCATAAAGCTCCGAATTATATTTAGGCAGAATTTTCGCCAAGAAAATTTGGGGCAGTTTCAAGCAATTTTAAGCAATCGACCGAATAGTCACAGCGCTAGATGAGGTTGTTTAGGGGGTGGCAGTGTATGTTTTTATTTATTTTGCTATTCAGAACGAAACTTTAACCGAAAAACAGCCGGACAGAAAAAAACAATCTTTTAAAACAGTATTTTGAAAAGTACCTTAATAATGTATTGCTTTACTTACTAGGCAGGAATTAACAGCAACTTTACACAACATGTTAGAAAAGTGGTAGCAATAATCATTATGAAAGTAATAAACTGTGTTTTTAATGTTTATTTTCACTTTTCACTTTTTAACAAACAAAATAGGTTAACTGCATTTTCTGCATCTTTGTCCAACAATTCGATTGTCTTCGATATTCTGAAATATCTCAAAATTGTTGCTATCGTTTCCAGTCGCTCAAGTGTTTTAATTTTTAATCTCAAAGTCAAATTCAGTTTAATCAAATAAAATATTTCAAATAAATCACTTTTGTAGATTGTTATCGAATGAAACGCCCCTGGTTTAACGCAGGCAGCCACTGGTTAGAAATATTTCAACGCCAATTGTCAGATTTTTGGCATGAACATCAAAATATTTAACCATTTTTTACGAATGATTTGTGTTTTGTTAGCGTACAATTTACACCCTGATTGGAAATAGTGGCCGCGTTCATTCCCATCGTGATTTACTATTAATCAGTGCTTCATTCCGGCGTTTAGTGTGCGCAATAATTAGCTAACATTGAACGACAGTACAAATTTGAATTGCTGGGAGCTTCCTGACCCAGCCCAAATACTCCCAGTTCCAAATAGATCCAAACTTCTATGTATAGAGTTTGTCGCTTTTAAAGTAGATAGTAAGAGGAAAATGTCTTCGGGCCGCCCTATAAAGTGTGTGGTAGTTGGTGATGGAACAGTAGGAAAAACGTGTATGCTAATATCATACACTACAGATAGCTTTCCAGGGGAATATGTTCCCACGGTGTAAGTATTTCTGTTGTAAAAAGCCTCAAGTGTGTATTCCACTAATGTCTGCTAGAATCCCTTATTCGGACCTGCATTATTTCAATATCATATAGCGAACAAGGTGCATTTTGTACCATCTTCTGTGTGACTTTTTTTCTGAAAATGTGTCCAATATTGTCAAAACAGCAAGAAAAAGGCCACATTGAAAGCACAAAATAAATTCTTTGTGAACATTTCTGCTTATTTTGTTGACCGAATGCTGTGTGTAATATCCTATATGAATATTTCGTTTGCGATTATCTTATCGAACCGTGTGTCTTACAAATATATACATATATATTTTGTTTGTGCCTAGATTTGACAATTACTCGGCCCCCATGATAGTAGATGGAATATCTGTAAGTTTGGGACTTTGGGACACAGCTGGACAAGAAGACTATGATAGACTGCGGCCACTATCCTACCCTCAAACCGATGTGTTTTTGATTTGCTTTAGTGTAGCGTCGCCTTCTTCATTTGAAAATGTAACATCCAAGTGGTATCCAGAGATCAAGCACCACTGTCCGGACGCTCCGATGATACTTGTCGGTAAGATCTCATTTATACGCGGCTCATTGATCTATTTCGCCCTAAAACCCATTATTTTCGTTATAGGAACCAAAATTGATTTAAGGGATGATAGAGAGACTCTAAACAATCTGGCTGATCAGGGATTGAGCCCCATTAAAAGAGAGCAAGGACAAAAGCTGGCAAACAAAATTAGGGCCGTTAAGTACATGGAATGTTCAGCGTTGACTCAACGCGGGTTGAAACAGGTATTTGATGAGGCAGTAAGAGCCGTGCTCAGGCCTGAGCCGCAAAAGAGGCGTCAACGTAAATGCATCCTAATGTAATCATCCGTTTTGTGAATTTCTATTTTAGTAAGTTATATTTGTCTTGAAGCAGAAAGTGAATTTGTCGAACAGTATGCCGGGTGTTTTGGAATGTTCTGTACAGAAGAACTGGCGGGTACTAATTTTGCCTGTTTTATTACTAAAAGTCTCACAGACACGCAAATATGATTTTTCCATTTTCCCTGAAGAATCAGCATGTTGTTTCCTTTGTACGTAATATTTACGAACACCCTGTATACCGCCAGCAGCAATTGGTTGTTTCGTTCACAGCTTGAGCTACTGTGAAGTTATACAAAGTATGAAATAATCATAATCAATGCCCTGAAGAAAAATATTTTTGCAGCTAACTTTCCAAAGCAACATATTTAAATTTAGAGCCTCTTTTGAAAGGAAAATCCAAATCCGTCCCTTTACAGGTTGTTTCAGGTGTTCGCTTTGTATAACTTTCCTTAGCTTTTGCCTTCGTAAAAATTTCAGAACCACTTCAGAAAAATCAAGTCTGATATTCTAGTTTATAAGTTTTGCTGCACATTTTTCATTATAAATGAACGTGTACATGTTTTGGGGGTCGTTTGAATGAAGAAATTTGGGCCTTAAAGTTTCGTTCGAAAAATTTTCCAAAGTTGTTTCAATATTACCCGCCTCGAAATATGTACCCGCGTTCGTTTATAGCCCATTGCAATGCAGCTGAATTAAATTAATTGCGTTTTTGTTTTCTGAATGTATTCAATTTGCAAATCAAAAATGTATATATGATAACGGTGGCTGTACGGTCACAGAACTGTTCTGAAAAGTGGCGAGAGGTTTGATACATCTGCCAAAGAAAAGTAAACTAATCCCTATTTTTTAGAGTGTTATTTGTTTCTTTATTTAGACTTATTAATTATCTCGAATGTGCATTTATGCTTTCGCTACAATTAAGTATATCTTTCTATTAAGGGTGCGATAAAGTGCATTTATTTTCGATACGATTTCTTGTTACATTTTCATTGAGAATTAGCAGCATTTTAACATAATGTTTTTACAATCGTTGATTTCAAACTAGTTTCGCTTTGTGTTTGAAGTGACCGGTTTATAAATTACGGCTTTCCAAATAGTTTAAAATCCATTCATCTCTACCGACTGTTTTAGAGCTAAAGTGACAAAACTCCTGGAGAGTGCGGCTTTTGCGTCCTCAAATTTTTGCTCTTGCTAAAACCAACCGCATCTTTTTGCTCTTGCTAAAAAAACTTTTTTTTAACGTTTACTACGCGCAATGTGCGCCAGGCTTTGGTCGTTTTAACTCTAAAACACCTCTGATGTACATAACAAAAATAATACTCACTACAATTTGAAGCTACAGCCAAACACACCACTCTATTGATGTCAAAAACGTGTTAAATGCTACAGTAAACATATCGAATATTTCATCGAATCGATTTGAGTTTTGCAATGTTTGTGAATGTTTCTTATTTTTATTCGCCGTGTGCCATTTTGTCTTTAGTCCTACTTTTACAAAGATCTGCTACAACATCGCATAATAAATAGCCTGCTTCAGCTCCATATTTTTCATATTCGGACACGAGCAAAGCCTTGCAAGTCAATTGAAAGTGTTATTCGAATTATATTTGTTTTTCGTGTGGGTACAATAATGGGAGAGACCTTATTAATTGAATTTAATTAACTTCTGTTTTTTTAGTTTTTTTCTGCTTTAGGCTTTTGATTAAAATTAGTTTTCCAGATGATTGCATTTAATTAGTTGCCCAATTATTGTTTGTTTTTCGTCCAGATATTATTTGTCTAACATTGCTTGTTTATATTTTGTAATTTTATACAAATCAATCTAAATATTAGGAATTTCATCATTGTTCTTTAGGTGACTTTTGTTGCGACCAAAGTAATATATTGTAATGTTCTAGTCACAACCTAAAATAAGAAGCTCCTTGTATTTGCACAATAATATACCGATTTTTTTATTGCAACCTTTTTATCACATTTTACTCATGCAGTTACATTTTATTGAATATTTAAAGAAAATATACTGTAATTTGGTTGTCTAGTGTTTTATTTTTAGCGTTTATATTTACAGAAATTTTTGTTTTTAATAGCAAATAATTTTATTAACTATTTTTCCTGTACTCCTAAAACACCTCCAGAGGAATCACTCCAATCTTGAATCACCCTGTATATGTTTTTATTTTTCTTACGTTATGTGATCAGATGCATACTGCCTTTTAAGAACAAATGGGTGGGAGTGAGATGCATAACGTTCAAGAAGGCAACGCCATGTTAAAATGAATAAAATTATACTGGGCTTCTGCTGTTGCCAACGCCTCATTTTTTACGGATAATTTGGGGCAATAGTTACAGACCAATTATTTTTTTGGCTGCTATGCTTTAAACAAAACCATCATTACTTAGTGGGTTACTAATTTAATTAATAGGTAATATTTTTTTGACTGTACTGATCTACTTTGCAATATAATCGGGCTTCCAAAAAAAAATCCAGGCTGCTGGTATATGCCGTTTATAGACATGACAACGTGGCTTGAAAACAAAATCAATTTCGCGTGAAAGACGGAAGTCGGCCATTTTATGTTGGACGCTGTAGTTTCACTACGTACCTGTGCGTTCTGGGGTACAATAAAGTATTTCTATTAACTCATCTTATTGTCTAAAAGAGGTAAGTGAAGGGCGCAACACGAAAAGAAATGATTGATTATTCGGCTGATTTTGCTTATAGGAAAATGAGTGAAGACCGTGAAAGATCGAGAGACCGCGCTCGAAGGGACAGGCCGAACCGAAGCGACATGAGTCGGGATCGGAGCGTAGATAGGGGCCGAGACCGTGGCGGGGCGAAGTCTTCCATCAACCGAGTGTATGTATCAAATATACCGTATGAGTATCGTTGGCAGGACATGAAAGATCTTTTCCGCGATCAAGTTGGGGACGTAGCATTTGTTGAAATGTTCGTTGACGAGAATGATAAGCCAAAGGGCGTTGGGATTGTTGAATTTTCTGACTCATCCTCGGTTAAGAAATGTCTTGAGGTCATGCAGCGGTACGAGGTCAAAGGACGTAAGCTTGTTGTTAAGGAGGACAGTGGTAATTTGCGGGATAAACATGGGAACGTTATTGGAAGAGGTGATAGGAAGTCACGTCGAGATGATGGACCTCGGTTCAGGGATGATCGAGATCGGCACAATGGCAATTCAGCTAATATCTCTGTGGATGACGGCAAGTGGGGCAACACGTACGGCTTGAGTCCTCAGTTTCTCGAATCTCTGCACATTGACGCCCCTCTTTCTAACAAAGTTTTTGTGGCTAATGTAAGTACTTTTTCACTATTTTGTTGGGCTCTGGTCAGCTTTGGCTACCATGCTATTTTGCTCAAGGGGCAACCGCAATGATCACCCCATTCATACCAACTACTTTTCTGTCGGCAAATTATGCAGTTGAAAACGCAGAGTGGCACATAAATAGCATTACGGAGGTAGTATTCCTTCAGGCAAATGAAGTCTTCCTATGAACATGGGTCAGCTAATTAACATCTATTAGATAGGTGTACGTACTCTTGAATTGGAGAGCAAATGCTTTGCCTTAGTTATTTTTTCAAAGGCTTTTCGCATGTGGTTATTTCCATATTGTTGTTTGTTTAGTCACAACAACGTTACAGTATTTTCTTCAGTCGTGAAGTCGAATTTTAGGGGTTTCTATGTTAATTATGAAACAGCTCTGTAGTAGCATGAATATGTTGAAGACCGTCTCCGAAAAGTCTCTGAAAGGAATTGAATCCATTGTTTTCATACATTTGAATAACAGTTTCCTTGACGTTTTTCCAATCACTCTGCAGAAAGCATGGTGTTTTGAAGCCAGAGAACGATCATATAAGATCATTGTGAACCCATTTTTTGCAGAATTTCTATTGTGTCTTGGATAATCTTGAAACGGACAACTTTATTAGATTTCGCTTAAATTGCTTCATATCTGGCAGAACCAATCGTGCTAAAAATTGATCCATTATTGTCTATATCTTACCATCGAATCTGCCACTACCTTAAAAGGATAAGGTCGATGTTTCGAGGACTGATTTTTCATAAACACCGAAAATTCAGGGGTTTAAGTCGTGAATTAGGGGTCTTTTTCATTTATGACTAATGAAACTGTCCATTCCCAGCTATCAGTCTGCACCAATGTTCATAGAGATTAAAGATAGTTATTAAAAATGGCTGGAGGTTGCAAATCTATTTTAAAGCCACTCTTAAGACGTTAAAGGTTTGGTGTTTTTTCCATTAAACACGAAACGACTTGTTTGCTTTGGAATACATATGTGAACGATGGTTTTTTCATATATAAAAAGAAAAATTGCTGATAGCCTTATCTTGCCAGGCCCATTTTCTTGATATCAAATGTTAGTGAGTGTTGGTTGGCTCTTAATTGGTTTTGTAGTGTCCACCTTCGCTTTCGGCTTGGTTACTGGAAGTGTTCATTCGCCAGCAAATATACTCTGGGGACTTAAAAAAAATAAGCGCTAGATAAGGTCGACAGTATCAGTGGTTTGGAATCATTAATCTCTTGTAGAATTTTTTTTATTTTGCCTTTTATAAATTTAGTTTCTGTGTTTTTGTGGGCTGGATATTTGCAATTTGAACCCGATTGAGACAAGATCTAAATAATCAAAATACTTTTTACCAGACTATGCAATGGGACACAAAAACCAATTACGTGCTTGGCAAAAGTCGATTCTTTGGGAAAGTTAACTTTTCAGCGCCAAGCGATTTTTTTGTTTTTATTGATACCACTTGGAATTTGGGCTAGACTTTCGCTTTCAACCAAGAAAGGGTCTTGTAAGTTGCAGAATAAGGTTGATCTAGGCACGGAATTTTTTCACTTTGTTGTTTTTAATACTACATTTTTTGAGATTCATTGCAGCAAATAATTACCAATTCTCTCTAAAACATTTTAACGCATCTTAATTGCAAGTTTCTGCAGTGTGCGTTTGGTCCAAGCATTTTTGAGGTCAAACGTGAAAATCTGCCATTGATAAAAGTAGACTCTTAGCTACAGCAGGACGGTGTTTTTTGGCCCAAAATAGGACTTTTGGATTAACTGCAGCCAACCAGATTCTTGTTTATTACTATATCTTTAATACGAAATTTAGTTGATTTTTCCACATTTCTGCACAAACTGGATATATTTGTGGTTTATGGATCGTGAGGAACAAAGGATCTGCATTTCAACTTTATAACTGCAAAGGAATTTCCTTGGTTGTTTTCTTTACGTGGGTGACGGGACGCCTAAAAATATTTTGTTGAAAAGTTTACTGTTGTTTTAAATTGCAGCTATTTTATTCTGTCATTTCATCAGCACGTTGTTTTTAAAATGGGATACAGTCAGTTAGTATTAATAGTTTGCCAATGTTTTGATCAGTCGAACCCACATTTTTGGCTAGTTTTCAAAGATTGATAAAGGTACTGCATGAAACTCAAATAATAAAACACAGGCATTGGTGAGAGCTGTTCTCATATAAAGTGGGTAAATCGATGATAAAATCACACCACAAAGATATATAAATTTTCAATGCTCCTATTCTGCAGCTTATTACTTCGGACAAATTCAGCTGTTTTTAAGTTAAAAAAATAAAAAATAAAGTTTAAAAAATTGATTACTCAAACCAGAGTCGTCCTATCAATACCTATTATATAACGAATATTTGTCGAAACGATTAACATTTGATATTGACCCTGACGAGCTAATATGTATTTTAGTTGGACTATACCGTTGACAAAAAGAAATTGAAAGAGGTATTTAGATTAGCGGGGAGAATTGTGAGAGTCGAAGTATCAGTGGATAAAGATGGCAGGAGCCGTGGATTTGCTGTGGTTGAATACGATCATCCTGTGGAAGCTGTACAAGCCATATCCATGTTCCACAATCAGGTAAAGTATTGCTTGAATCAAGCTAATATTTTCGATAAAACAATCAATTCTTGTAGGTTCTGTTTGATCGTCAAATGACTGTACGCATGGACCGTGTAAGTGAAAATATCAAATTGCCAGAAGGCCTGAAGACAATCGGCATGGGACTCGGTCAAAATGGAGAGCCTTTGAAAAACGTCGCATACAATCTGCCAAACAGTAACCTTAACTCACAGGGTGTTGGATCCAGTATCTTAGGCTCCGTTCCCGGAGCGAGCGCTTTGCAGGTAAACGCTCCAAAATTAGAGTTGTAATAAAAACTATTTTTATTCTTTACTTGTTCTAGGTTGCTAGTGCCTTGTCAGGGTTCGCAAATGTTCCCGGATTGGGAAATTTGAATCCTTCCGTTTTGGGCGCGGCCGGCTTGTCCGGACTAACATCAAGCCTCCTGCAAAATGGGTTAGGTGGCGGTTCTGATTTGCAGTCTTTAATGAATCAAAATCCCAACATTCTCGCGGCTCAATCTCAACAACTGTCAGCCTTGCAGAACGCAGGTAAGAGCTTCACTTCTAAACCCACCAGCTTACACAGTAGCAATTACAACCGATATTAGCGATTTAAATCGAGGAAACCTTTTTACGGGAAATGTTTTTTTTTATAAAGCGGTATCAACTTTTTTGACGAGGTATTGTTAAACTTTTTGTACCTAATGTAATATCTAATAAAAATCCATTTCGATGTTGAATTCCGTTTTTTATTGACCTATTTTTCTATTTTTGCTTGCTGAGGTAGCCAGAGAAAAAGGACTTTTTGCCTCTTCGGGCACCGGTAACATGGGAAATTCGTCTTCCGGGTTAAATTCCGGATTAAATCTAAGTTCTGGTGCCGCCCCCAATTCTGCCCAAGGATACGGTCGATCTGCGTCTGACGGATACAATCCAAATGCTCCAGTTACATATCCCACAAATTATGGCAGTACTGCAAGGTAAGAAATATTCACTATTCATCACTATTCAACTACTAAATGTTGTACATTTTCTATGTTGAGAGCTTGGGCGAATTTGTTTCTCTAAATTTCTTGTAGATTAGTGCTTTTTTATTGGAGACGTTTTTCGTCGCCTTATAAAAGTCTTGTTTATGAGCATTTATGCTATACTAGTTTGCACATTTTTGAACTCAAGCATGTAGTGATCAAAAGCAAATTTAAAATTTATTTGGCGATTCTTGGAATCCGTTCTAAATAAATCTACTCTTTCACTGGCCACATTAGCAGTTGTCATCGAATTAATTCTTTTATAGTACCGTAGGTTTAAAGATGTTTTCACCTTGCTTAATTTAAAAAAGTGAAGAGTTGATACGTTTGTTTTAGGGGCAATAACTACGGACAAATGGAATTGCGCTCTAATATGATGAAATCAGCCACAGATAATAAAAACTTCTCCAGGAAAGTTTTAATATCGAATGTAAGTAGTTGATGTATTTAATGTTTATTAACAAAATATGGCACATTCGAGTTTTGATCATTTAACATTTTTTTGCAGTTGCCACCTACAGCTTCATTTAAACTGTTACAAGAGAAACTGAATGAATTTGGGGAAATTTCTTATTGGGAGGAAAAAGGTACTGGCAGCTACCTAGTGGTTTACGCAAGCGAATGGCAAGCCGAAAGAGCGATAAAAAATTTGGACAAAGCTAGAATCGATGGAAGATACATTGAGGCCCGAACTTATTACTAGTGCATGCACGCTGCGATTGACATCAGATTTGCACTATTTTTTCAAGAATTGACGTTTAATTTATAAGGCATCATTTAAATATTTGGTTATAGATCTGATGCATTTAGTTTCCATACCATGTTGTCCTCTAATATTATAGAAACAAGCGATTTTTCAGAATAAAGTCAAGCAATTACTGTATTTACTTTTATTTTAATCATATAACAAAATGTAGAGCTATTCAGTAATGGATAACACTCAAAAATCACACTCCGTTATCAATAGTAACTAAAGGTGCAAAGGTATTTTTTTATAATGCAATATCGGCGATATTTACAGGAAATAAATTGAAATTGGACAAATGTGAGATCTGACTTTGGGACTATTTTTTTTGTAAATTTCCCAATGCCATTCAAACTTGCTTAAGCCTTTGCATTAAAGAAAACTTAGAATATTCAGTACGATTCAGTGTTAATAATTTACTAAGATTATTCCTAAATATGACTAACATTGTTTAAAGTGTAATTAACTAGCTGAGACCTCATGTCTAGACTAAAATGGGGGGAACTCCCCATTGCAACACCTATATAAACAAGTATTTCATATTTGTACGTGTTTCGGGTAGTTAGATTTAATAGACAAACTTCATAGACACAATGTAAAGGACACAAAATATGTAGTTATCAATTTTTCTTACAAATATTTTATCACATTTTCGTTCGTTAAAATGCTGATAAGCAAATAATAATTAAACTAATAATGTATTAGTTTAGCACTCAATCAAACCAATTTTATTGGCAAATAGCAAGCAGTTAACCCTAACTGACCACAATGTGGTGAAAGTAAATTAACAAATTCCGGCTAACTTACAGCTGGTTAGTACCAGCAAGCAGCATTTTAATGGGGACTTAAAATTGGTTAAATATATACAACTTTTATCGACCAGATCGGTTGAACTTGCATTTTGAGAGCGTCAATCGGTCCTTGAAACCCCGAATTGAAAGTAATTTTTCATTTGGACTTTTTGCTGCGTTCTTTCGCTTTTTCATTTTCCGCCCGATCTTAATAGACTTGGCAGAACGTACCAATGGACAAACATCCAGAAACCATAAAGCATTCAGTGAACTTCAAGGAAAGCTTCCAACACCTGAGGGACAATCCGCCGGTAAGGAATTTTGAACTGTTTAATCACTTTAGCAGCGGCGCATTTGAGACTAGAATACTTCATCACGTCTACAAGTGCATGGGCCTGTTGGCATTTCAACAAACTGGAGAACGTTTCACCATTTTTATTGATTTCATCCAGATGCGCTCCCCCATCTAGCAAATATTTAGCTACTGTGGATGTGCAGGGATTGGTTAAAGCGGCCAGATGAAGGGGAGTGTTGCCTTCGTCATCACGTGCTGTGGGATCAGCACCGACCTCCAGCAGCACCTTGATCAGATGCTGCGACGGAAAACCACATACCCGATATCTACGCAACGATGAACCATTAAAACGTGTTTGAGTGGACAGTTGCTGACTTACCTAACCAAAAGGGCGACGTCTCTACAGCATGCCAAGTGAAGCAAAGTACGGCCGTGTCGGGTTCGCATTCCCAGTTTGTTGAGATAGAAAATTGATTTATTTATTTGATCTTTAGTCGCTTCGCTTACTGATGCATCCGTTGCCATTCTGGTCAAGAGCGAAGCCAGATGAAGAGTTATCACCGTTACCTAAAGGGAACAATCGTCAAACATTCGCTTCAAGTAAGTAAAAAAGGAGTTTTCAAGCTGTTAAGTGATTTATTTACCCTTCTTTTTGGGTATTTTGCCTCAAAAATTTTTGTCTGGTGAAGGTTTGTTTGGTGAAGTAATTCAGTTCATTTACATGGCTGTTTGTAAATTGTCTGTATGTAC